CAGCACAATACAACACATTCACATTTCATATTCACGTCTCACATTCACATTCCACATTCATATTTCACTTTCACAAAAAATAAATGAAACACATCCAAATCAGTAGTGAAAGATTCATAAAGCAAGAGAATTAGCAAGTAAAAAATGTTAATGTTAAGCATTCATCAGGGAAGTTCAGTGCAATCATTCGATGGCGTGAATGTCACTTTTTCTAATTTAGTGGCCTCTGTCTTTATGGTGGACCCCACTTACATGGTGTGTGGGTTGGAATTAGTCTGGTTCTGGGGAACCCACTCTCTTCTGGTGTGATTGAAGTATGGGTGGGTGCATGATCCTTTGCATATCAATTGAACTGAGATTACCGTTGATGTGCTATCGTATGAAAATTATTTCTTACTTCGGACTATGCTATTACTTGCGTTTGTTTGCACTTGAGAGACACACTAAGCTTAATAGCTTACACCCCCTTAGTTTCTCTCCTTCAGATTCTCGGGTTACGACAACCGATACTTGAAGTTCGACATTATTCTATTTTCATTATTTTCATAGTATGATATTTTTATTCGGGTCTTTTGATATTACCATTTATTATTTTATTTGGATAATACTTAGTATGTTAAATATGATATTGGATATATATTTTGTTTTGGACGTTTGGACTTGAATTTTAAATTCGATAAATATTTTATTTATGTTTTTAATTATTATTTATTTATTTATTTCATTTACTTTTAAGTGTTTAAAATCTATAAATACGAGGGTTTATTTTCAATGTATTTTAAATAATGTTTGGGTACGATTTTGGAAAATTTAGTTAATGAGTTCTCTAGATTTGAACTAATTCTTTTAGGTAAGGTTTAGGGGGGGTTATAGAATTTCTCCTGAAAAAGGGCCAACCATTCGACGATTGATTCAAGTGATGATTTTGACGGTTGATACGGCTAAGGTGGAGGTGGCCTCGATTGGTAGGCTTGACTTGGTCTAGGATTTAGTGCATAACTAAAGTTTGGATGATCTCTCTACCCTGGATTGTTTGTGTTGGTGTAAGGATTGTAAGGCCTTTGGGGAGGTCCCATAAAATTCTCCACGGCATTAACTTGAGGGCTCGCTTCTTCTTGTAGCATTGGGCAGCAATCAGTCGGATGATCGTACATCATGCATAAACTACATAGTCTTGCTGCAAATTTTTACTTGCTATAAGGTAATTAACTACGTCAGTTAATTTATCGAAATAAAACTTGTCTTGTGAACCCGTCAGCTTGGTTTAATTGAAAATTGTTGTGAATTTCTGCCATTATCGAGATCAATTCCCTTACTGTGATTGGCATCATATTGACTTGATCTCCTCCACAGGAAGTATCTACCATTTTCATATCTATGGGAGAAAGATCTTCGTAGAAGTACTGAAGAAGTGTTTGCTTGGTTAATCCGTGTTTCTGACAACTTGCGCAAAGCTTTTTAAATAGATCTCAATAATCGGATAGCAATTCCCCATCTTTTTGTTTAATTCCCAGAATGTTTCTCCTTAATTTGCTTGCCTTTGCTCCTAGGAAAAATATGTCAAGAAAAATTTAGGTTAAATCATTCAAAGTATGAACATAATTCAGTGGTAAATAAAATAACCAATCTTTAGCTATTCTAGTTAAAGAAAAAGAGAAAACTTTTAATTTAATTTGGTAATCGGAAAATCCCTATGGTTTTATGCTTGAACATGCCAAATGGAATTCTGTCAAATGTTTACACAGACTTTAACTGGGAAGACTGTTGAAGGTAAGAAGAAGACAAATCAGCCCCGTCTTTAGTTGAAACAGAGTTTTAACTTGAGGAAAGGCGATACAAAGAAGTTGCTGAACAGGAGAGCTATGACTAACTCTTGAATGGTTTGATTGTCCATCGCTTTTGACGGTTGCACGTGATCGGCGTTAGGTGGGGTGTTGCATATAGTGTGCGACACTTCGAGAATATCGTGTGATTCGACTTGTGATGATTCAGTTATATTCAACAACTCTTCGTGGGAGGTGGCGTCAGATTCTTTAGGATTTGATTGGTTTTGTCGCCTTGTTCTTTTATCTCGAAGCATTTGTCCTTGAATTCTTCTAGCTCTTGCTTTGATCTCCAGGTCAAATTCTTCTAATGTGTTCGGGTTTTTCCTGGTCATAAAAACAAAAACAAATTAATCAGTAAATTGTCGTATTCCCTGACAACGACAATAATTTGACAACATGTCATTTTTAGTGTCAAATAAAATATGCTTTAATATCAATAAAAATAAAATAGAAATAAGTAGAATAGAGAGAGCAAGGGTCGATCCACAGGGAATATTAAAATTGTTGATTAATAGGTCTTGTTTCTAGGCTAGGTTTGAACTGTAAAAGAAAGTAAAAAGGGGGATTTTGTTTGATCGAAAAATAAAGTAAAAATTGGAAGAAGGTAAATTTGACTTAAAAATCTAATTGTAAAAATCAGCCTCTGGCTTCCGCTTTGCCTCAAATTTCATCGATCATTGAAATAGATTTTTCACTTCAGATTCATGCCGGTTACAGTCTATAGGGCCTAACCCCTTTTAAGTCCTTATGTGGACTAATCGTGTTAATCATTATTAGCGCAAACTTGATTTAAAAGCTTTGAAAAACCTTACTAGAATTATAATGTCTCGTTGAGAATTGAATATGATCTCAGTTTCCCTTAGCAGACCGCTGCTAAGTGTGTTCACAAGAAGTTGAATGTGCTACAAGACGATCCTTCCTCCTAACTATTAATCGAAAACACAATCAATCCAACATGCACTTTTTGAAAAGAAAATGTTTTTGATTATAAAAGGATGGTCTATTACTGATCATTGATTCCATAAAACTAAAAATGTGACCCCGAATAGTGTTTTTCAATTCTCACGATTGAAATTGAGTCATCGCTTCAGCCTTTGACTATGAAAAACTTAGCTAAGTATGATTTCTATCATACTTAGCATTTTAGAAGAAAAATAAATGAAAAACTTGTAAAAGTAAAAATGAAAGAAAAAGTAAAAACTTTATAGAAGAAAAACAAGAACAAAGAAGTTCAAGAGAATTCGAGATGTGTTTTAAGCTCACCCTAAGAGGTATTCATAGCTTCCTAAAACCCTAAAAATGTTAAAAATAATTCCTAAACATTATAGAAGATAATTCACGAAAAATCTCAAAAGTTAATTCCCTTAATTGTTTGAATATAATCTAAAAAATAAAGATAATTCCTAAATTCAAGCTGGAAATTCTGGCTGAGTCTTCTGCTTGCACGAAAATGCTGAATGGACCTTCTAGAAGATTTTGACTGTATGCCATGTCAGCGGAGTCATGCCCCAAGTCATGCCTATTAGTCCAAACTCCAGAAAAATAAAAATTGCAAAATTTCGTCCTTTTTAGCATATTTTGTGAAATCTAATGTCCTGCATAGAAAATAACAAAAAATGTCCAAATTAGCAACATAAACCGACAAATCAAGGAGTAATTAATAATAAAATAATAACAAAATCAAACCCTCATCAGTTTAATCCGCAAAGTTTTATCCAAATGTCTTACTTGTTTATCCAAAGAACACTTTATAAAATCCAATACCCTTGTTTTACACTTGCCTTGAATGGAGATAAATGGGATAACATTTTGAGTTTGGGTTTAGAATTTCCTATAAAGTGTTACCGACAACCATTCTGTGACTGTCCTGAGAACAATTGTCCAAATTTTTATTCTTCTTTTGGTTCATTGTATCCAAGTAATTGAATGGTGGTGGTCACATATGATTCCAACCCGTGAACTGCACAAAGTTTTGTAATTTCGTTTGGAGCCAGCCGAATGCAGCTGCCCCAAAGCAAAAAGAAAAAAAGAAAAAAAAAAGGTTGTTTTGCATATGAAGAATCCTCCTTGGGGTTAAAAGTAGAGGCGTAGGTGAATCTATCGTTTCCTTGGTTTATTTTTTAAGGTGTTTATGTTTAATTCGTTTTTGTCTAATTTTTTTAATATCGTATACATGTTTACTGATTTAGTTTTTAATGTACTTGTGTTTGGTTCATTTAATGTTCACAAATATGTTCACCAATATGCTCGTTTAGGGTTTTGTTAACATGTTCTTTTAGAGTTTACTAACATGTTCGTCAACATGTTCATTTAGCGTTCACGAACATGTTTGTTATATGTTCATAAATGGTAAAAGTCCTTAGATTTCATAATTTAAACTCCAAAATTTACACTGTTAATTTGGTCTCTAACCTTCACTAATATTTAAAGGATAAACTATGCATTCAGTACCTAAATTATAAGTTTTGCTCCGTTTTAGTACTTAAACTTTCATTTTTTTTTTCAAAATCATTCCTAATGTTTAGTTTTTATTTCATTTTAGTGCCTCGCCGTTAAAAACTTAACGCATTTGGTACCTAAACTGTCAGTTTTGGTCCGTTTTAGTACCTAAATTTCATTTTTTATAAAAACTTCAAGTTAAATTTTGATTGGAGTACTACAATGAAACAAAAACTAAACTTTAGGTATGATTTTGAAAAAATTGAAAGTTTAGGTATTAAAATGGACCAAACCTGATAGTTTAAGTATTAAATGTATAATTTACCCTATTTAAAATATAAAAAAATAAAAGAAAAATGAGAATCAAATAAACGATCGTATAAATGAGTTGATAAACGAACTTGATCATGAACATAAACAAACGGTATACACTTTTATTCGTGTTTGTTTGCTCATTAAATGAAACATAAAAATCTTGTTCATACTCTTTGTTTATCTTAATAAATAAACATAAACAAACGTTATACGATCGGCTAATCAAACTCCCAGTTTCCTTTAGATCTCTAAGCTAGAAATACAGAAACCCAATGGAGTAAGGAGGAGAGGAAAACAAAGAGAACATGAAGCTAAAATACCAGCCGGGAAGGCACTTTGCTTCCACAAACCGCCCTCACACTCCTATAAATCCTCACTCAAATCCACCAATAATTACAATCAAACACTCTCGTCCAAGCCTTCACGGGGCTCATTTAACACAAAACAATATACGCTTTAAATAAACCCCATTTGATTCACAGACAGAGCCTTTGCTTTTATGAGTTGTTCCACTTGGCTTCCAAGTGAACTCAAGCAAATTGCCCATAAAAACCAATCCAAAAACTCTCTCTTCTTCCATCATTGTTGCAAACCCTTTCTTCTTCCCTATGGCTAACAGTCTGGTTTTCCAGATTATCACATTGCTTTGCTTCTTGTCGGCTATGGCGAACTGTGTTCAGTTCAATTATCCGGCGGTGTTCAACTTCGGTGATTCCAACTCCGACACGGGGGAGCTTGTTGCAGCATTGGGGGACATATTGAACCCTCCTCATGGTCAAAATTATTTCAAGGCTCCTTCCGGCAGGTTTTGCGATGGTCGGCTCATCGTTGACTTCCTAAGTAATACTCTTATCCTCTCACTTCAAATTATGAATAATAAGTATGTTTATTTTTTTTTACAATAATAAATACGCTTTCGTTATGGATAAAGATATATATGCTCCCAACAGCATGGAAAAAATCATATTAGTTAATTAGCATAATTAGTACTCTACTTTGGGATCGGGTTGAGTCATACTGATAAGGTGTCTATGCAAAACTCGATTTCGATTAGTCGGTTAATAGATCGGATATCGGTGATTAATTCCAAAAAAAATCTTGTAAATAATTGGATTATAATGCTTGGTGTGTTGATAAGAGTTGGGCGTGGGGCATGTGATGTCCCAAAACCAGGCTTGTAATTTAAAAGAAAACAAAAAAGAAAGGTTAAAATGTTATATTGTATTGTTAATTTCCTGTGTGTTACCACAATTGAAAGCAAACTTCGACTGGCTGGGACACATACGATCCACCAACCTACAATTATTATTTATAGTTGGCATTTGGTAATCAACAGAAATATTAAATTTCATTGTAATCTGGTGATTCCTGTGCTTGTAAATCCATGGCTTCCAAGTCTTGCTTCCTTCAAATCTTTGTGTTGATGTTCATCTTCTTGCCTTTTACCAATTCCATCCACTTCAAATTCCCGTCGATCTTCAACTTCGGCGATTCTAATTCCGATACCGGCGAGCTCATTTCCGCGGTATCGAGAGCCTCGAACCGCCTCACGGGGAGAGTTACTTTCAAATACCCTCCGGGAGATACTGTGATGGCCGGTTAATCATTGATTTTCTCAGTTAACTTTTCTAACTGTTTAGAATTTGTGTTGTATCTGGCTATCTGCAGTGTTATTTGTATGGTGTTTTGATCTTTTTTGGTTGCTGCAGTGGATGCAATGGATCTGCCATTTTTGAATGCTTATCTTGATTCGATCGGGATACCGAGTTTTCGTAAAGGGTGTAATTTTGCGGCCGGGGTCGACCATCCAACCGGCTTCAGCACAAGCTGTGAGTCCGTTTTCATTCGGAGTTCAAGTGGCTCAGTTCAAACGGTTCAAAGGTAGGGTTCTTGAATTGCTAGTTAAAGGTAAAAGACTTGATAAGTACCTTCCAGGACAAGATTACTTCCAGAAGGGGCTATACATGTTTGATATCGGGCAGAACGATCTCGCCGGTGCCTTTTATTCCAAGACTTATGATCAAGTACTTGCCTCGATTCCAACGATCTTGATAGAATTCGAAACTGGAATAAAGGTTCGATTCGAGAACATTGTTTGCTCTTCGTTCTCAGGGTTTCCCATGTTTTCCTCATGCAGTTTGGGCATTCTTTGCAGGCATTATGATCAAGGGGCAAGAAACTTTTGGATACATAACACAGGACCTCTTGGATGCTTAGCTCAAAACGTCGCCAAGTTCGGAACCGATCCGTCTAGCCTCGACGAGCGAGGGTGCGTCAGCAAGCATAACCAAGCTGCTAAAGTCTTCAATCTGCAGCTTCATGCCCTAACTAAAAAATTACAGGGCCAGTATACAGATTCGAATTTTACCTACGTCGACATCTACACTATAAAGTACAACCTTATCTCGAATTATTCTAAACTCGGTATGTTCACGAGAGATTTTCTCACCTTCAAATTATGTTTTAGTTGCTTGAAATTTCAGGATAAGCAAAGTTGTTATTCTACCGTTTTGCAGGATTTGAGCAGCCTATAATGGCTTGCTGTGGGTTCGGCGGTCCACCGTTGAACTACGATAGCCGAATAGCCTGTGGAAAACGAAAGAGATTAATGGAGCCACAGTGACAGCCAAAGCATGCGATGATAGTTCTGAATATATTAACTGGGATGGAATCCATTATTCGGAGGCTGCGAATCAGTATGTTTCATCGCAAATACTCACCGGAAAGTACTCCGATCCACCCTTTTCGGACAAAATGCCATTCCTTCTCAATCTCAAGTTCTGAAGGCCGAATATTACTCATTGCTTTAACTCCTCTTTGTATTGACTTCTAGTAGTCACTGAATTGATAAAAATTATTGTAAAGAACTAATAATTTGTAATTGGAAGTCCATTTTCCAGATGATGCAGTCTGAAATTTAATTACTTTAACCTCCTTTTTGTCGATTTGATGCCTTGCGCATTCTGATTATGCAGATTATCGATGCCGATCTTGTGTTATAATCGAGCTTTTTTCCGGAACATGAACCAAAAATCTGTACTATTGCTTGGACTACAAGTTTTTCATCAACCATATTCAACATAGAGTAATTGTATAAAACTACATGTTTTGTAGGGAAGAGATTTGAAAGACAAATCTCATGATACAAATAAGCTTTTATTTCTTGGAGACATAGGCATAGTATTGTGCCATGGGAAAGACGAAAGCAATCACCAACAAACCTCCAACTACGAGACTGAATTGTCCTCATTTCTCTTCGGTCTCTTCCCTGGATTTAAAATTCGATTCCCGCTTGTTGTCCTTAAACTGGGGGCCGCCGGGATCTGGAAGTCCATCAATGGCAGCAACTAGCCTTTTGGCACTGCTGGAAATTGCTTCGTTGTACTTTTCTTCCACAGCCAAAACTGCAACCATGAAGAACGATGCAACGATGAGTACGGTTGCAATAAACGAAATGAAAGGTAAAGAAATATTATTTCTGTATATGAAACTCCAGTTTTCACCATAAGCTATACGGTTGATGGGAAAAGGCCGATATGGTTCGAGACTTGAAGCAATTAAAATAAGTTCATTAAGTTGAAATGAAAACAAAGTATCTGATGCTATTTTCGTATTGGCAACTAGAACTCGAAATATTCTGTCCTTGGATAAGAGAGCAAGGCCTAAAGTGTAGTTTGAAAAAACGGAATCAAAGGAGATAGCTCGTCGGTGAGGAGTGGTAATTAGAATTGCACCATGAATAGATATATGCCACCTAGCGCCACCAACAACTCATATCGAATGAGCTAAAGAAGACAACTAAGATCTTATTCCGATGGTTTGCTCATGTTAATCACGCAGTTGTTTTGGTTCTACCATCGTAAAGGCGAGAAAAATGATTCCAACACGTTCAATCAGCAGGATAGAGTAATTCTACAGGGTTTTGCAGCAAGTACTTATGAGATTTTTTCCACGTAACCTCTCCCTAGAAATCTTTGAATTCTTATGTTTTTCAAGTTTTCGAAGGCCTTATAACGTTGCTACGGAACTTTATCTACAGATTTCACAATCAGCAACATCTTCAACATTTCCAAGGACATGAGAAAAGGAAAATATGAAGGTTTTGAAGTTTCAACTTGAGAAATAAGTACCTGGAAGGTTCTGAGTTACAGTTGCATCGAGAAATTTTCACCACGGCTTCGACGAATGCAGGTCCACTGGTGACGGCCCCCTTCTTTCTGGCTCGTAACGAGCACAACGATCCCTTTATTGCTGCCCTCTTCGAGCGTCGGATACCATTTCTCCAGAACTTGGTCAGCATACTCAAAAGCATCAGCTTTGGTCTGCAATCAAATCATAGTTCTCAAATCTTGCATCTGCTTCAAAGACTAAAAGTAATCTTATCATCATATGATCTTACAGTTTACTAAGAAGCTCAAAGCAAAAGAAAAGGAATTAATGGGTTCAACATTGAATTAGGTTTAACTTAAACATCAAGAACTGCATACAAAATTTTCCTTTTCCTTGATTTTCTAAATAACCAAACAGACAGTTAATGACTAAAGAACAACAATGAACCAACCAAAGGGTATCTCATAAAATTCAGAAACTCACAATTAAACAAGTAAATCCATGAAAACAAGAATCTTACAGTGAGCTTTCTAACAGTGACAAAATTGATGTGAAAGTTTTTCCTCGACTCCAGATCAGACAAAAGCCGCTTCAAATCCGATTTCGTCACCCGGCTAAGCACATTAGCATCGACGACGACATAAGATTCCTACGGCGGCCCCTCGTTGATCACATCAAACTCCGAAGCCATTGCATTTCCATTGAATTAAACCGGAGAAAAATTGAGTGCCAAAGAGATAGGTAGAGCCGCCAGTCCCTGCTGTGCATGTGCAAACAAATTCCTGGGTTCTTCAAACGATGATGGTTTTACAGATTGGGAAGCGTGTTTCTGGTTCTGTTTAGATTAGAGTGCTTGTGTGGCGTGAATTTTGTCCTGTTTTGGATTTAGTTGGCCGCATCTTTTCGCCGGAAGATGATGCCCCTCGTCCATCTACATAGAAAACAAAAAATAGTAGATCAAGTTTATGGTCCACTTAGGTATGATAATGATTGGGTTAGATTTTTATTATTTGAATTCAATTTGAGTATAATATTTATTTTATATTTGATTTGAGTATAATAGTAGATCAAGTTTATCGTCTGAATTAGATTTAGAATTTGTTAAAAAGAAAAAGAAGAAGAAGATAGATCCCCTATTTTTAAAAGAAATTTATTATTAAATGTTGGTGCAACCTATCACTCTTGATTTAGGGATTATAATTTTTAATAATAATTTCACTAATTAAAGTAAAATTTAGACTATGAAGGATTTAATTGGTTTAAATGCAAGGTCAAAGGACCCAATTATAAGTGAAATCAAAGTTGTTAGGGATTAAATTGAGCGAATTGAAATATCATGTCTAAATTAGAGAATCAATGACTAAAATGAACACGGTCTAAACTAGGAGGGTTAATTTTGAATCCAAAAAGTATAAAATAATGTTTACACATTGTAAGATAGTAATAAATTTTGAGATATGATCGATCTATAATAGTTTGATAAATTGAATGATTATTTTATAATTTATAAAACCTCAGGACTCAAAAATATAATTTCAGTATAGTTTAGGGACTATATGTGTGCTTTACTCTTTAAAAAAAATAAATGACTGTCACTTTTTTTTATATGTATGAGGTAAGAGGAGGTAAGATAGTAGGTTACTCTCAACATCATATTGAAAGCAGCTTCCGTAAGAGACCTCCAAATTATTAAATACCTCGATCCACGAACCTTCTATTTAAAAAAAAAAAAAAAAACAAGCCTCTCGCCGCCTCTGTCCCAACCTTTCCCTTCTCTTCATCCTATCTCATCCGTCTCCTCCGCCAGAGTGCAATCCGGCTCCGCTCTTTCCTCCAAGCTTCTGACAGACCAGGAAATTACATAAGGTAAGTTTTCGAAACCCTAAGCTTAACTTGAACATTGATTTTTACTTGATTTACGAGATAGATTTTGAGTTATATGCTCTCTGCCTCGGCATAATTATGCTCTATTGCACATTATTTTTTCGTTACACTGCTATTTGCGGCAACGATCCGCTGCTATTGATCTGAAATTTGTTCACACCGCTACTGAGGCCTTTTCCAATGGTGGACGGTGCCGCTACTGCGAAATAGCAGCTGTGCCACCATTACACATTGCTATTGGAACCCTACACTTAACTTGAATATTGATTCCTACTTAATTCCTGAGAGATTTTGAATTATCTGCTCTCTGCTTCTGCATCATTCTGCTATATAAGAAGAAATCAGCAAATTCCCTTCTTATTACCAAAAACTAGATAGATATGCTAAATCAGTTGTTATATTGCAATCAATGATGGTGTCTTTTAGCAGCCCACAGGTGGAGCATAGAATCCAACCATTTCGAAGGGAAGCACTGCCCTTTTCTGCATCATCTCGTTCCTTGTGCGCACACATGCACGGTATAGCATAAGTTGGTTTGTCAGTAATTGAAACGATCTATACGATCAAAATATTGGTTGACTTGAGTCTTTGTTTTTTCCTTAAATTACTTTCACACAACCATCACATGATTTGGCGTTCCTCAATAGATTGCAACTCTATGGCAAGTGTTATTTTAATCCAATATACTTATGGGTTTGAATTGTTGGTATCTGTTTCTTTCATTGACATATGGTCTGAAAATGGCTTCATTTGATCAACCTGCTAGTGCTATCAGAACTACCACTTTCAAGACTTCTCTTCTTTATCGATTGTTGTGGCTCTTTTGTTCGTTGGACTAAGCTTTAAGCACACGTTCCCCTGGTTTGAACTCTGATTTTTCACCACTGAGAAGTAGGGCACAGGATGAAATAATGTTAAGAGAAGGGTATGATTTATCACCTCCTTGTAGGTGGGCAGCTAGGACTGATTTACCAGTACCTCAAGTCAAGGCATCTAGAGATGAAACTGATTTATCTCCTCATCGGAAACTAAGGGTTTGGAATGACATGCCATCACCTGAATCTTTAGTAAGCAGGGTAGACGGTACCGATTTATCTCCTCTATGAAAACGGAGGGTTCGGAATGACACACCATCACCAGAACTTATAGTAAACAGAGCAGATGGTACTGATTTATCTCCTTCACGGAAACGGATGGTTCGGAATGATTCACCTTCACCAGAACCTTTAGTAAATAGAGCAGATGCCGATTTATCACCACCTCGGAAACGGAGGGCGAGAAATGATACGCCGTCACCGAAACGGAGGATGAAGCCTTGAGAGAAGGTACTGGAGTGAGTGATGTTTCCTCTGCGGCAAAGTTCAAGACGTCATCATACACAATCACCCAATCCTGGTATGCCCCCACCTAGACAATCTTGTAGTCAAACATTTGAGTTAGTTCATGATTCAGACCTTTCTCCTCAAAGGAAAAGTAGGAGGGAATCAACTGGTCATGCTTTTATACAGCAACCAAAAACTGGTTTAATTTCTGGCAGTGAGATCCAAGAAGAGATTTCCAAAACAAAGAAGGATGATTGGGTAAGGTACCTATTCTGTTTAACTATCTAGATATAATTCAGTTTTCAGAAAATAGCTCTGTTAGCATTTTACATTTTTTCCTTGAAGTGTTATGTAACTAGGATAAACAATAGGTACTCACCAATCTTGAGTTCAATTGTAGACTTTAACCTATTTTGTTTTTGGACAAATTGCAGAAGCTGCCTTTTCTTTGCTTGAGGTAATTATCACATGTGGCTGCCGTTGTATAGTAATATGCTGTAGGGGCTTGTGGCTATTTCCACGAGGACATTGGTAAAATACCCTGTTGATGAAATGAGAGAAAGGTATAGTATAAAACTGAAAGCAAATGAAGGATTAAAGTAGCCTCCTGTTTTATTCTTTTTCT